ACCCGAGGTTCCGAGGTCTGATTCGGTCTCGTGAACATCCGAGGTTCCGTCGTCTCTGTTCCACCCTCAGACACTCACACGTCCTTTCTCAACAAGGAGTAAAATCTACACAGCGGAATCAGTTTTCACAAAGTCCTTTGTCTAGAGGGCTGAGTATTTATCTAAATACAGAGTTAGTTGTAGGGTACCCAGAAGTTGTGTCGCAGATCATGCAACACACTCACCTTCCTTCCCTGGTTCCTGACCAACGGGGGCAGCATCCCCACCCTGAAAAGCATTTATGGTCATTTATTGCTTTCCTGCCTGCCTCCACAAACTTCCAAAAATGACGACAAATTGTAACGACAGAAGATGCCAGAGCGGGGTGACCGGAATCCCGGCTCCGCTCCTCCGCCCTCCAGGCCGGTGAGAGAGAGAGAGGAAGCCGAGTGAGGTGGGAAGAAGCCTGAGACTCTGGAGTGACGTTGACCCCCGTGGGTCACTGCACAGCCGGCGCAAGTGCATAGAGAAAGCCCTCGCTGCCTGGGCATCCAGTGGAAAGGAGAGGACGTCGGAGGGCCGTCAGATCAGCGTCCAGGGCCCTGCACTGAATTGGGGGAGGGGCTGGAGGTCAGAGATGGGTCTCTACCTCCCAGAAAACAGATGCACACCCCCGCTTGGGAAGTGAGCCCGGCAGCGGTCCGGGAAACTATTTCAGATCAAAGGCAAGGCGCCCACGCGCTCTCTGATGTGTCCTCTCCCCACGCAGTGTCCTCGGGCCCCAGGAAGGCCGGGGGACGCTGGAGCCATTCTTTCTCAGACTGCAGCTGGGACGGGAGGCCCACAGGCTCAGATGAGCCGGGAAGGGAAGCAAGTTTGGGGAAAAAAATGGAAGAGCCACTGCAAACAAGCACCAAGGCCCGGGACTTGCACAGGTAATTCCTGCAGCCTTCCAGAGAGAGCGCCATTCCGTGCGGGAGCCACGGTCACCTGAACACAAGGCACCAGAAGGGACAACTGGAGGCATCACAGCCTCGAATGACCTCACAGGCCGGACAGTGACTAAAACGTGTGACGCTGACCAACCAAGACGACGGGAGTGCACATTTGTGGGTGCCGGTCCCAAGGGGGGCCTCGGGCGCGGCCGGTGCAGAGGTGACGGCCATCCACCCCAGACCGTCTGCCACGCGGACACTCAGCCCCACTGAAACGACAGACTTTTCAAGAAAAGCTCAAGGGAGGGCGCCTGGGGCCTCAGTAGGTTTAGTGTCCGATCTTGACCTTGGCTCGGGTCTTGATCTCACGGTTCGTGGGTTTGAGCCCCCACATTGGACTCTACGCTGACAGTGCAGGGCCTGCTTGGTATTCTCTTTCTTCTTCTCTCTCTCCTTGTCTCCCTCCCTTTCTCCCTCTCTCTCGGTCCCTCCCCTTCCTTGAAAATAAATGAATAAACATTTAAAAAAAAAAAAAAAGGAGAAAAGCTGAATTGTATGTTTGACCTCCCAGTTCTGAAACACCGACGGGCCAAGCAAACTTCGTCAGCTGCCTGGACGTGTATCACAACCCAGTGGTTTCGGACCCCTCCCCGTTGAGCCTGTACTTACAAATGTTGGCCCAAAATCTTTTCTACAAGGCAGCAAAAATGTTTTCTTCGTGACCGAGTGGGCCCCATCATTGGAATAAAAATGTGGTTCGATATTTGGAAACCTATCAACACGCTATACCAACAGCTCAAAGGAGAGAAAGCGTAAGAATACGTTGCCTTCTAATAGGGAGCCTTGAGTTTTGAAACAAAAGTAGCGCTTCGTAGAACAGACATGGCTCACGTCTTGCACGCTGCCGAGGACTTTTGGTTGTCAGAGATAAAGCTCGACTCAAGAAACATACGAGGAGTTTTGTTTTGTTTTGCTTTGCTTTGTTTCGTGAGTTGCGCGTCTGAAAAGTCCAGACGCCACTCCACTGTAGGTCTGGCTGGAAACCAGAGCGTAACACAGGTCAGTCCTGACCAGTTTGCCACGACTCACCTTGGCCTCTCTTTTCACGCCGGCTCCGTTCTGTCCCGCTCCAGGTGGCTTTTTCCGTGTGGCCGGGAAAGACGAGTGCAGGGGGCTCTGGTTGAGTCCGGGCTTAAAGTGAACGTGGAGGCAGCCTGTGGGAGCCAGAAAATCAAACAAGGCGTCTGCCCACAACACGAGCCGCGAAGTCCCCAAGTGGTCTCCAATCTGCTCGGCGAGGGACACGTGTGTCAGGGGCTGGCACCCACAATATGTACACACCTCTTGAACTCCATAATAAAATGACATGATAAAAACTAAGCAAATGATCTGAATAGACATTCCTCCAAAGGAGATATGCAAATCGCAAATAAGCCGTTTAAAAGATGTTCCGCGTCATTAGTCACTGGGGACACGAGAACCAAAACCAAAGTCAGAAAGGGCGCCCGGGGGGGCTCAGTCGGTTGAGCGACCCACTTCAGCTCAGGTCAGGATCTCACGGTTCGTGGGTTCGAGCCCCGCGTCGGGCTCTGTGCTGACAGCTCGGAGCCTGGAGCCCGCTTCGGATTCTGTGTCTCCCTCTCTCTGCCCCTCCCCTGCTCATGCTCTGCCTCTCTCTCAAAAGTAGATAAACATTAAAAAACTTAAAAAAAAAAAAAGACAGGAGATTGGTGCGTGGGTCCCCAGGATGGAGGGCATGGGGAGACAAAAGAATTTGACTTTTTGTCGTAAGCCATTCTGTATTTTTAATTTTGCAAACTTAGCCAGGAGCGTGTATTACTTTTATGATTTATCAAAGTGGCTCGATATTGTTAACTCTCTGTCCTGACACGTCCTTTCTCTGGGGCCTTCCACGCTGGAGAAACGGAGTCTGGTGCATCTGGAATGGGACGGCTGGGTGGGGGCCACCCTCCCACCTGGGACGTCCCCACCCCGGGAATGGTGGGTGTGTGGCTAAGGCCGGCTGCCCCCACCTCAGGAAGAAATGAAACGCTCTCTTCCCGTTCACGAGATTGTCCCGCGTGTCCTGCCTTGCCTCTTCTTGCCGTCGGATGTCAAGGGCCAAGAGAGGGTGTGGGCCGTGGGGAAGGGGCCAGGGACGCTGCTCAGCCTTTGTTTCGTCCTGGCTGGGACAGGAGTTGCGGGAGAGTCCTGTGGCTCAGGTGTGGGCCAGGGGGCCCACAGGGAGGTCTGGGCCCCAGATCTGCGCTGAAAATAAAGGTGACGATGCCTGGCCTCGTCATCTCTGTCCTAGAGGACTGCGTGTCACGGTAGATGGCACAGCTGACTGCCCAGTCCAAGTAAATGTGCCAAACACCTGCTGACCCTCGGATCCCCCCACCCTCCCCCACCCTCCCCTGTGCCCAGGGGCCTCGCCGCGCCCACAAGACCCGGGACAGCCCATTTTTGCTGCGGGGAACTGGTCACGGGCTTCTCGTCCTGACGCCTGCACGGTTCCACGTGCCTTCTTGTTCACTTTTTTAATTTTTTTTTAATGTTTATTTATTTTTGAAGGAGAGAGAGAGAGAGAGAGCGTGAGTAGGGGAGGTGCAGAGAGAGAGGGAGGCCCAGAATCTGTGCCGTCAGCACAGAGCCCGACGCGGGGCTCGAACCCACGAGCCGCGAGATCGTGACCCGAGCCGAGGTCGGACGCTCAACCGACTGAGCCACCCGGGCGCCCCTCACTGTGCCTTCTTCAACTCAACCGACCTTTCCCCTGTTCGATGCTCGGTCCCTCCAGCCTGAGCCCCATCGGCGAAGCCTGAGCACGGCTGTAAGGCCAGGACAGGCACTTTCCCCACCTGCTGACAAGGTGGCCTCCTAGCAGGCGAGCTCGCTGACGGGGGTCCCCGCTCAGCAGCACGTCCTAGGTCACACGGGTGAATACCTCCAGCTGGAACTGCTCCAAGAAGCCCAGGGCCGTGCTCTCCTTCGATGCCCCAGGAAAGAGGTTGGTCTAAATTCCCTCCGGATGCTGGGAGCGCCTGCAGCCTTGTAGACGAGCCCCAAAATCCACATAAGAAGTTTGCAAGACAGCGCTCGAAGAAAGGGATTCAAAATGCTCATCCTTCTGAGGGACAGAGTCCTGAAAATGAGGAAACCCGAATTCATTATTCACCTTTTCAGACCCCAGCGGTCCCGGTTTGTAAGATGGGGACGATCGGACAAGAATGTCCCTTGACTCTCCCACACTTATTACTAAGAGATGGGCTGTGATTACTAGGGAGGACTAGACTCTTCCCTTTGAGGAGTCTCAGATTATCTGGTGGCATCTGTCCCCGGGGCCCTCACGTCTGCCCTGAGACGGCGGGGTGGGCCACGTGGTCAGAAAAGTTCTTCTCTATCCTTCAGCCTCACGGCCGTCTTTCCCAAATCGTCATGGGACTCAGGCCCACAGACTTCCCCCGGCCCCCAGCATCTGCTCGTTGGGACTTGACCTTCCAAAAAGGTGTGACCTTCTCGACCCGCCTTTTCGCCGTCAAAGCCACCTGTGAACGGCATGCAGATGAGAGTACGAGCCAGTGACGGTGTTCTGCGTAGACGCGGGAAAGCCCCTCCGAGTGAATCTGCTACTCAGGATGCCGGGCCGGACGGCAAAGGGAAGAGAGGCCCGTCTTCCAGCCGGAGGCTGCTGGGCGGCGGGGCTCCGAGAGGGCCGTGCAGGGGCGGGGACCGGCCACTTGCCTCCTTCCACCGGAAATGGGTGAAGCCGGCTCAAAATCATTACTCAGACGCTCTGTGCCGTGAAGGAAATGTCTTCTGATAGCACAGAGCTATTGGTTTCCTGTTGTGAGCGGAGGGTTCTGGCTTGCCCGAGAACGTGCAGGAAGGGGGAGGGTGGCTGTCCCTGGAAGCCTGTTCCATGAAAACGCCAGCTCAGGGGCCTCGGGGACACTCCACGGGCTGGCGAGAGGCTGGCTGACGGGCGGGGGAGGGCAGGCCGGTCGGGGAGGCCGGGTGGAGGGAGCACCGGGGCGCAGACGGCTGTCACCCAATCTCTGCGCTGTGCGTCGTGCCACGTGCGCGAGGCGCGGGCGGCCCGGGACCTCCAGGTGACAGTCCCGGCTGCAAACGGGCACCAAAGTCGTGTGTGCGCGGTGCAGTGAGGGGCAGCCTGGAGCCGTGCCCGCGTGCCGGCAATCTACGGCCGAAGCCCGGACCAGACTAGACCCCTTTCGGGCTTCTACCTCCGGGACAAGGGGTAGAGTTTTCTACGTGTTTCCACATAGTCATACCTACTGGGCACGCGGCATATTCCGGGTGTTCCCCAAGCATTTTCTCATCCACCTTCGCGATGACCCGTGGCAGGGTGTTTAGAAGGGACAGCAACTTGGGGACGGTCCCGGTGAGTAAGTGGCAGGGCGGGGCTCCAGCCCTCCTCCCCCCACGCTCACCTGCCATGCTAGACGCCCCTTCTTCCGTGAACGTGGGGTCGGCAGGGCTCGCCACAAGCCCGGGTCTGGGCCCGAGTCGCCCTCCGGCAGGTGCGCTCGACTGGTCACCGCGGTCCCCTGTGGGTGCTGCAGCCGCCTACCCGATCTGCCCCGCGGGTCCAGCCCCCCCTGGTCCATGCAGCATTGTTCCTGCCTCGCCGGCCCCTGGAAGGTGACGGGGGGAAGCTCAGAGTCCCTCGGGGACCTAGCCCGGAGCCCCCCAACGCCACCTCGGAAGGCTGGCTGTGTGAGGGTCATGCTATTGGACATCTGGGGAATTAAGACGTAGAAGGAACTCCAACGCTTCATGACATAGGAACGGTCCCCCCCCCCCCGCCATCCCAAAGAAAACAGTCTCTCCTAAAAAGTTACAGACCAGCGGGAAGTGATGGGCTGGCAGGTACCCCCATTCCTAGGTTTGACCCACTGAGTTCACCCCTCTCCTGTCCCTGCACACTGCCGTCCTCACACTCGAAGGCACAGCGACCTACCTACAGGGAGCAGGTCTGAGGCTCCCAGTCCTGTGCACGTATCCACTCCGGCGTGCGTGCGATTTCGCACAGCGGTCAGCGACGGGCCAGATACTGCTCTAGACGCTAGGGATTCAGGACAAACGTTCACGGACCGTTCCTGTCTTGAGGAAGTGGCTCTCAGTAAGGGGACACTGTTTGCAGCTGATGCTGTGGATGGGCTCGCTGAGCACCTAATTCCAACTCCCTTCTCCCAGAGGCTGGAGAACTAAATGCTTGCTCGTCGGCCCTCCCTTCTGGAACACAGTGCAGGTCGGGGAAACATAAACAGAAGCCTATGGAAGGGTGTTCTGGAAAAGCTTTTGCTGTCGCGTGAGAAGAGGGACGGACAGAGACATGACTTTCTTTGCTTCCCGCTTGAAGGCAGACGTGATGCCGCAGCCACCCCGTGACGAAGAGGTGACAAGACGACCCCGTGATGGCGGAGGAGCCTAGAAAGTCCCCGCGTCCCCAAGGACCCTGTCACGTGCACTTGGCATTTCTCACCGTGAGGAAAACAGCCCCCACAAGTCTAAAGTTTATTTATTGTAGAGAGAGCACAAGTGAGGCAGAGGGGCAGACAGAGGGAGGGAGAGAGAGTCCCAAGCAGACTCCGTGCTGTCAGCACAGAGCCGGATGCGGGGCTCGAACCCATGAACTGTGAGACTGCGACGGGGGCCGGAATCGAGAGTCGGTCCCCAACCGACTGAGTCCCTCGGGCGCCCCCAGCCCCCCCGCGAGTTTAAAACACCGTCAGCAGTCCGGGCTCTGTTGCGTGCCTACGTCCCTAACACGATCCTACATGAGGAATCACATCTATGCGAGACGCTCCGTCGTGAGAGGCGAGAAAACCGAGTTCTGGAAGCACCGGAGAGACGCCCCCAGGAGCAGGGGGCGTCGGAGCGAGCCGCCAAGACGCACAGAGGCAGGAAGGGCGCCCGCAGCACGGCCACGCAGGGGCGGCAGGTGCACAGTCCCGGTGAGGACGCCACCAGGGAGCGAGGAGGCCGGAGTGCGGGCTGAGGGACGGAGACGGGGGGTCCAGGAGGAAAACACGGGGCCGAAGCAGAAGCCGGGTTAGACTTTAGACGTGGGGCCCTAGAGGCGCCCCTGAAAGCTGTGAAGCCAGACGACGCCCCAGGGTTTATTCTTGGTGCCCAGGGCACTGGGGTCTCACACGGAGGGACACCAAAACCGGCACCGAGGCGGTGGCCGCAGGGCGCAAGGAAGGGAGGGATTTTTAAAGCACCGGCACTTAATCCCCACCTGCAGACACACACACACACACACACACACACACACAAGCGTATGAGACTGGTGGAAAACTGCATAGGGTCTGGAGCCCAGTTAACAGGACCCGTGTCGCCGTCCCGATTTCCATGCTGTGCTCCGGTTACGTAAGGCGTCACGGCCGTGGGGGGCTGGGGGAAGGGCACACCGCTCCTTAGGCACGGTGTTAGCAACTCCCTGTGAATCTATAATTCGTTCAAAACGAAACGTTTAGCAGCCTCTCGTTTCTTCAAAAATTCTACAAGAATCTAGGCTTTTCTTTTAGAAGGAGACACGTTTTGTAGAGAGGAAAGTCACGGAGCCAGGTGCCAAGGTGGCATCTACGAACTTCTAAGGATGAATCAAAATAGGGATCTCGAGGGGCGCCTGGGGGCTCAGTAGGCTGAGCGTCCAACTTTGGCTCAGGTCACGATCTCGCGGTTCGTGGGTTCGAGCCCCACGTGGGGCACTGTGCTGACAGTTCGGAGCCTGGCGCCTGCTTCGGATTCTGGGTCTCCCTCTCTCTGCCCCTCCCCCCCCACCTCTCAAGAATAAATAGACATTTAAAAAAAATGTTTTTAAATAGGGACCTCAAGAATGGGGAAGACATAGTTTAAAATACTAAAAGTCAGGAGTGACATCATTTCAACGTGGAGTAGTCTTTTGAGATTGATTTCGATTTTCCAAACGCGTGTTGGGTTCTTTCTATCTCGTTCTTCTGACTCCTTGGCCCACCTTCACCCCCTTGGGCTGGTGGTCTCTGCATTTCTTTTTCTTTTTTTTTTTTTAATTTTTTTTTAACGTTTATTTATTTTGAGACAGAGCATGAATGGGGGAGAGTCAGAGAGAGGGAGACACAGAATCTGAAACAGGTTCCAGGCTCTGAGCCGTCAGCACAGAGCCTGACGCGGGGCTCCAACTCACGAACTATGAGATCGTGACCTGAGCCGAAGTCGGACACTCAACCGACTGAGCCACCCAGGCACCCCTGCATTTCTTTTTCAAGCATGTACATTCTCTTTGGCCACCGGCCTCCAGGGGCAGGTCCCAGGTCACCTGGCCTGCACCCGAAGCCACTGGGGTCACGGTCCCTTGGTCCCCACCTCAGGTGTCTAAAAGATCCTATGAATGGGCTCAGAGCTGCCCCTGGGAGCCAGGGAGGCATCGTCTGATGGCTTTGCCCTCAGTGACCAGTAGCCACACTGGCCTCCGGCGTCCCTGTGTGTCCTCCTCCTGCTAACCCGGCCCACATCCCTTAGCCGTCCTGACCCTCTGGGGTTTGATCTTGCGTCACCCCTGCCCTCCGAATAAATGATCTCTCCTTCAGCAGGAGGAGCGACGGGAGGGGCGATTTATCCCACCCTGTTGATTCCAGATGGGAAGGAGTGATTTCAGGACAGCAATCCCCAAACTGCGTCCTGGAACATACCAGCATCCCGGGAGATAGCCATAGGCAGTGTGGGGCAAGTTCAGTCGGACGACCGTTACTGTAAATCATCTCAGACTTTTTCAACGCGCGATGTCATTGTAAATATGATGCTGCAAACGAATTTGAGGACCCTTATTTGTGGAAAACCTAATTTCGCTGCTCAGAACGCCAGACGTTTATAGAGCTACAGTTTGGGGACATGCTGCTCGGGGGAAGGTGTCCCCAAGGAGCAACGGACCCCTTCGTGCCATCCCGCTCCCGAGCTGGTCTGCCAAGGGGACATGGCCCATCCCAGGGTCGGGAGCCAAGTTCCTTCTGTGCGAGGAAAGGGGCAGGAAGGCACCCAGGCCCCGGAGGGCGGGCCCCGAGACGGAGACGGGGAGCTGCAGGGTCCTGGGCCGCGCGACCTCCACTCCGCTGCCCTGCGGCACAAAACCCGCGGGGAGAAGCGTCTTCTCGCCCGGTTGCTGGTATTTCCAGGCAAAGAGCGAAGTAGGTGGGAGGGAGAGAAAACCGTGGAAGGAGGGCAGGAGGGGGACACAGGGATAAATATAGTCTCTTCATTCTGGATGCTCCCCTATGTCAGTCCCCTGCCGACTCGCTCTCTCCTCTCTCTTGCTCTGTCTCTCACTCTCTCTCCCTCCCTTCCTCTCCCTCTCTCCTCTCTCCCTCTCCCTCCCTCTCCCTGTCTGCTCCCCCATCACCCTAACGCCATTTGATTCTAATTCCTGCGTGAACCGTCTTCTTAAAACCAACAAAACCTCACTCATCCCACATTTAGGATTTGCCTCGAGACATCTGAGAGAAAAAAGAGAGAGAAACAGAAGACAGAAAACAGGTGAGGGTGGGTGACTGGGGTTCACTGTGTGACTCGTGGTATTTATTACAGTTTCATGATGAAGTAAATAAAGTGATGCACCCGTCAGGTTCTTGGCCCCACGGCAGGCGTGGCCTCGCCAACACTCGGAGTTTGTACAAGATGCCACGCGGCAAACGGAATTCATAAAACGAAGAGGAACCAAGAAAGAAAGACAAAGAAACAAGAGACCCGAACAGGCAGGAGACCTGGGCACTGATTACACAATTGCGACATCTAAGCCCTGAGCAGCCGCTGAGGAACAGCCCTTGTCTCACACCCA